CCTGGCAACTTTGAAGGAAGGAACATTTCGGGCTGTAGAACTTCACGGATATACCGGTTGCTGTTCATAGTGCCCACAATTCGTAGCAATTGAGATCGTCTATGATATGCTAATGGCGGCCCCCAGACCATAACCCGGGTGTTCGTCCACTGTGGCGTTCGATAATGCACTCCGGAAGGTGGCGTTCACCGGCATAGCGTCTGACACGAAGCGGCCATCATGGTACTCAAATTAAAGCGGATTCGTCAAAAACACGATATGCTGCCAATCACACGCCATCTCTATGCTGATTGGCCCATTGTAGCCGCAGGCGCGATGGTCGTGCGTTAGGGGATCCTGTATAAAGGAGTCGTGCGCGCAGTCCACACTGCAGCAGACTCTACGAACTGAGAAGCACCCAATGAAACACCTGTAGCTATTGACCACAGTGCTGCCAATTGTCTAGAGGAAGCTGTACGGTCCGTCCGCGCCATGCGACCAGGTTCTATCATCGCGAGCTGACTCACATTTCGGGGGTCCACTCCCGGATTTCCGATTTGTCCGACACTTGTCCGTCCACTGCTTCCAAACGCGCATCACTGTGCTGCTGTTACGCTGCCCCGAGAGGCTACTGCACGATACGACAATCCAGCTTCACGAAGGCCGATGATTCTCCTCGTTCAAATCTGTAAGTTGTTCAAATCTCGCTCTCTTTCGTCGACGAGGCTAAGTACAGATTGAGTTAACTTTACCACTAGCAGATAACCACCGATAACCATAAACGCCTCGCTACAGGCCGTCTATTTATTCGGATCCCATCAGCCGTTCAGAGGGCGCTGCTCAGCATACGCATGCGCTAATTTGCAATTCTAATCATTTGCATATCATGCGCTACTTTGCATTTCCTGAAAATTTCAGCTCACTCGCGTAAGTCCTTCATGGTGTTGCAATTTTCACAAAACGTGAGTGTATAATTTTATAAAGCACGAAATGCACTACTTTTATTTCAATGCTTTATTTCTTATGTGTATATTTTTCTAAATTTAGAAACAATGTTTTGCGCATCTAATGTGCTAATTGTTAATTTGTTATTTCATTTATTGCAAAATCGGATTTATTTAGATATTTAAACTCCAGGCATAAATATTGCAAATTACATATAAGCTAATTGTATTGTTATTATAATTTTTGCTGCTAGCATTTAAATTTATATGGAAAGGATTCACTTGCTACAGGGTGAGTAATTTGTTTAATAATGCATAGTGTTTTTAAAATTTGGTTTTATTTTAGCTTTTTACCTGTAATTTCTTTATAATACTCAACTGAAAAGGCATTTTTCATGCTTTTTTAAAGCTCTATAATGTTTTGAGCTTTGAGAAATGGGATAATGCTATTAATTGCTCATTTATTCTTGGAATTAAAAACTGCAGTAATACTAAATAAATAATTGCATTAAAATAAGAGTATTAAAGAAAAGCATGTTTATGTCACTTATCTGCTACATGGAGTTTTTTTCCTTGTGAATTTTTAATATTTTATAATCTTTGAAATGCTAATAAAAATTTGTTTTTTGACGCAAAACTTTTTGCATTCTTTTCTTTACATGGAACTAGGCTTTTTTGGATTAACGAAACTAATGGTAATTTTTGTAAATATATTTTTAGCCAGTAGTATGCTACTGAATATTACTTTGTTAACTTTGCTTTCTAGTTAGATGCTAGAAGATAATTATTATATAAAGTTTTAAAATACTGAATTGAAATTTTTTGGAAAATTAAAAAAAATCTAGAAAATTAATATATTAAATTTGGGTCGACGTAAACATGACTAAACAAGATATGATATTATCCATCTGAATATAAAAAATTAATATAGTTTCCTTTTATCTATATGGTTTTCTGCAATTCTCTAGGAAAAAAATAACATTCATTATTAAAAGCACAAAATATATAAACACTAGCCAAAACGCCGCTTTCAGATCTGACGCAAAGGAAGTTGTATCTTTCTACTCAACAGCAATGATCATTTTTCCTCCCGACGCTCGAAGGTACGGGGGTCTCCTTGCCGTGACGTCACTTTTCAGTGATACGGCCTTCTTAAGTCTCGGTGGTGTCGCCTTGCCACGATAAAATTCGTGGATTTATTCTGATTATTCCCGGCAAGTGAGATTAGTCACAACAACAACACAAGGCAGAGAGTTGCTCATAAAACGATGTGAAAAGTGTGTGGAGGTGAACATGCTGTGAAATAAACTGTTAACATTTTCACTATTCCTTTTAGAAGCCTAAACAGGCCAAAACCTTTTGTATCTACCTAAGTACACATAGAAGCCTCCTCCAACTCCTCGGCCATCCACGAGGTCCTGGCATAGAAGTTGAGCCCTGCTGATACTATTATATACATATACATTTCAAACACAAATTAATGGTCTATTTTAAGAAACCATTATAGATATGTATGTCACTGAATTTTTATTAACATGTCATGGTAAAGGGTTTGCTTGTGCATAAATGTTTGATGACTCATTATACACAAGTTGTGTTCCTTTCTCTAAGTTTCACATTCAGCCAAGTTTCAATATTTACTCATTTATTAGACGTTCAAAATAATACTCCTCATTATTATTATTATTATTATTATTATTATTATTATTCTAATTCTTCCTCCTCCCCTCCCCACAATTACACTGATGCAAATTCAAGAACTGTGGACATTCAGTATAACAAAAGTAGATCAATCACACCATGAGTAAAATAAAATTGGTCTCGATCGATAAAGCGCCAGACAGTGTACAAAAACTGTTAGCTAACTAGAACACACATGCACATAAAAATAAAATAAACATTAATGCGCGGCAAAATTTTTATGGCTAAAAGTTAATTACTTCGTAGGGAAAACAAAATCTTTGTTTACACAAGAAAGTAAACACTTGGAAGAAACTCAAACAATTCCCAAACGGAACTCCTTACGTTAGTCAGAGCCATTAGTGAAGGACTGGGTGAAAGTAAACACAGCCATGTAACACGTAGTTAACAATCAGAATCGCAGTTTTTTTTTATTTTTTTATTTCCATTTACAAAAAATTAATTTTAGAAAAAAAATGGGGGGAAAAAGATTTGAAATTGTATTTTTTATTATTCATGCAGCATTAATAAACGCATTACACAAGTTAACCTTTCTCTTTGTACATCCTCTCCTTTCTAGTTTGAGATACGAGAAAGTCGATCCCTTAGTTTAATTCAGTTCTTTATATAATAACTGAAAATTTATAAGATATTTTGTCAACGCAATTTATTGTACATCAGAAAGATTTTCAAAATTTGTAGTGAATCAGAAGAAAAATGAATTGCTTTAATTTTATTATTTCATAGCAAGGTAGTAGAATTTTAATTTTAAAAATTCCTAAAAGAGATATTTTTCCTCTACACATAAAATGTTTATCCACTTCATTTAGTTCACAAGTCAGAAAGAGAATCGAACATTACGTGTCACCTTAGTGACGAAGGGCTTGGATCCAGTTTTGTGAGAACAATTTTCCAGCAGTTTGTTCCTAATATTATATTGATACAAATGTTAGCGAATATGAAAAAGCCTTTAACATCTGAATTTAAAGCTAGTCCAGTTAGAAACAATAACTTCTTGTGTATTAACAATGTAAACAAAAGAAGCAATATGAAGTCCATTTATAAGAAATATAGATATCAAATAAGAAATCCACATAGCTGTTATTTATAAGTTTCAAGAGATTTTCAACAATAACTGGAGGGGGAAAAAAGAGTAGAAAAGTAATATACTACTAAAGTTTAAAAAATAAAAAACAACTGATGCACAAAATGTTGTGGCAACTGGACTTCACTTATTTATTACTTCTTTCAGGGAATTACTAGGAAACCAGTGGCATCATTTTTAGTCCAAACGGGCTTTGTCCCTGAAGGACTATTGTTTTCGTTTTGCGATTTTGCGTTGAATCACTAAAAATACTCGTTTCACTTTTCAAACTGTTGCCACCAAATGTTAGAGTCCTGCATTATATTTGAAGAAATTAAATAACGAAAAATCTGCATAAATGTATGTATATTTCTCGCATTGTGATAAAACAACGATACATAGAGCCATCGAATTTTGAATGACGTAAACCTCCAACGAATATGAGCATGTGGAAGACCAAATTTGAAATTTGAATTTGTTTTATGATCGATTTCCTATTTTTAAAACTTTGACGAATTTTTGATTAACAAACTCAAGGATTTGAAAGCGAGCAATGGCAATAATCTACGGGGCGGGGGAAAAACATTTTTATCTCCAGCGCGTGAGTCTCTGTATCGGAAATTCTTAATAGGCTCATTTTTTAAAATTATTTTGCGATATTGCTGTTGCACTGAAATTTATGGTTTAAGTGCGAACAACATGATTTTTAATAAATAAAGGTAACACACAAAACGTTAAAAAAACGCCCCTTTGGACGTAATTTAAAATCTGAAACCTTTCACACTTTTTTTAATTTATTTATTTTTTAACTTTATTATTAAGCATCGTTTTCTTTGTACTTAGACAAATTGTACAAAATTTTCAAAGGAGCATATTTTTAGAATACAGTATTAAATGTTGGATAAATATTTCTTTTTTTTTTCCCCCCATTCTTCTGTTTATCAACAAGATGAACTACACAATTTTTTTTTTTTTTTTTTTTTTAATTTACTTACTTTTATTTCTAATGATGAAGGAGATCGTGATTTCAAAACAGCTATAAGTTTTGCTCATGCTTAATTTTGCATTTTTACACTAGCTATTGCGGTGGCTTAGCCCGAATCGCCTCTGATAATTATGTTCACTATTAATATACTGTCTGACAGCCTTTTATTTTCATTAAGCTCAATTCACTCGCTAACTGATCTTTCGTTAAGTTCACGAATAAATTTAATATCAAAATTTCATCAAGTTCTACAAATTTGAAAGTACAGAAATTACACCAAAACAAAAGCATTCCATAAAATGGGGAAAAAAAAAGGTGAAGTACTTACCGTTCCAAGCATGCACGGACTTTCCTGTAAAGCTCCACAACAACCTAGGAGACCAATCAAGAACATGATAGCCCCTGCTGCCATGAGTATGAAAATGGCAACGAAATACATGTAGCTGTCATCTGTATTACCCAGATACACAGAACTGTCGATATATAACCATACAGAAACAGCTAATACACCTATTCCGGCCAACTGTAAGAAAATACATTGATTATGAGTATGAGATTTTTCTTTACCTTCAATTCCAATTATATGAATAGTCATTAATTGTATCAATAAATGGAAATATATGCATATATTACACAATATAAAAGAGAAAGAAATAATAAAAGCAATTATCCAAGTGCCCGTAACGCGCAAAGTCTCTCTAATTCATAAATACCCATGACTTATCTAAAGGATTAAACCCGGCACATCAGTTGGAAGCATCCCTCCTCTTATCCGAGCACTGATCTAGATGGCTTCAGATTATTCATGTTATTAATCAGTATATTGTTATTACATGGCTCATTTCCTTCTACCTATAAATGTACTATTGTTATAACTTGTAAAATTTATGTAAAATTTTATTCCAAGTAGATTGGCATCGGTTATTTTATACAGATGACATTTAATTTTTATAAGTACTAATACAGTCAGTCACCTTCCGATTTCCTGGAATAATATCGAAATCCGTATTTCAAACAAAAAGGACACATTGTAAACAGAATAACATAATTAGAAATAAAAAAGCTAAATTATTAATAATATTAAATTATAATATTAAGGTAAGAAACAGAATACTGTCATTGAATTCAAATTCGGGTTAAAAAAATCGGTTAAAACCTTTTCTTGCCGTACATTGTGTTTATATACCGGATAATGTACAGTTAAATTACGCACGATTGCAGAAAAAAGTAGCTTCCAAATGCCATGGCATCATTTCCTATCACTGCTGCTAGCAGACGTACTTTCCTTTTCCTTTCTGCATTTTCTGTTGGCAGTTTTGTTATACGCTGATTGTTTACAATAATAATTTTTCCATCACTTCACAACAAATAAACTTAACCTTTCTTTTAAAAGACGGTTCAGTTCATATACAAGACAGTTAACACTTTATTAATTGGAACTACACTACATTTCTTTCACGTGTCAAATGTAAAGAAAAGATACAGACAGGCAAAAATAATTTAAAATAACAAATTCATCAAATTACGGTAAATTAATTTAATTTATTATAACATGGCAGCCATGCGTTTCGGTATAACATAACCGGTACATATTATAACAAAGCTAGACGGTTATAAGCTACACAGCGTCAGCAGCGCATAGGCTATCTACTTTTCGAAGGCATATTTCATGTAGGAATTTATGAAAAAGCTATATTTAAAGTGAATTCCTAATCAGCCAGGGTCATGTCGGAGATAACGACCACGGTTAACTCAAAATTACAATTAATCCAAGAGAAGTTAATAAACGAGGTTAGAGGTAACCTATAAGGTATTTATCCTGCCTTCTTAATATGCCTTCGTGGTGTAATGGTCAGCACGTTCGACGCGTACGCGAGAGAGTCCGGCGAGGGCAATGCTCATTTTTCATCTCTCCTGCTTTCAAAATACCTAATGACTCTACAGTGGCGTCTGAACTAAAAAGATGGTGGATGATGATTCTCCACCACCAGGATTTGGCGACTGGGTCCCCTAATCCCTAGTCGCCCTTTAAAAGTGGGAGTATATAAGGTATTTCTACCGCCTTCTTAGAATGCCTTCGTCGTGTAGTGGTCAGCACGCTCGATGCGTACTCGAGAGATCCCCGGTTCGAGTCTTGGCGAGGGTAATGTTCATTTTTCATCTCTCCTGGTTTCAAAATACCTAATGACTCTACAAACCCACATAATGATTAAGAGAAAAATACTGTTAACAATTCATCTCTATTTTCAAGCAGTTTAATTTGAAGACTAAGTTCCATTGGTTACAAAAATGAAATCAGTATTCAAAGTTCTCGCTTTCGAGCCGGCTCGCACCCTGTTCCTCTTTCTGTTTCTTCATGTTCCGGTTTCTTTTCACTTCATGGTGCACATGCTGTTTGCTTTTATTTTGTATTTGTGCTTTAGTATTTCAACAGGTAACAATGTAAAGTAGAAGACTGATGGCTGCACACTTGATTTATTTTTAAGAATGAACAATTTACATATTATAAAAAATTTACCAGTATTCATATATTTAGCAATATTCGGATTACGTACAACTAAATTATGTGTTATTAAGAATAAAACCAACTCTCAAATACTGTGACATTACTTGACGTCATTGTTCTAAACCCACGCATTTTTCTTTCCCTTGCATTTTCCGTGGACAGTTTTGTTTAATGCTGATGGTTAATGATAGTAACTTTCTTATTGTTCATGATGAGCAAACCTATAGAGTTCGGCTAAGTGAGAGTCTGCATTGCACTCGGTGAGGAACAATCAAACGAAACATACAGAAATCAATTTAACCCCAAAACAATAGTTCGATGCAAATAACACGAATAAACAGAAATAAAGTATATGAGTCTTAAATTGCGAAATACCAGTTTGTGGTAGAATTTTCAATATTCCAGACTGCTTTCAACACGCATTTTATAAGAGAAAGTAGTATATTTGATGGAGAATGCGACATAAAATCCGAAATCTCTCTTTAAATATTTATAGTCAGCACAAGCAATTTGTCTTCGCTGGATCTCAGTCAACCAATCGCGACAGTTTCATCTGAGTAAAAAGCAATGAACCCGGATAGAATGCGAGCTTAGTAAAATTCAAGAAACGACTTCAACCATTTATCAGCTGGTCGTTTTCGTCTTACTGGGTTTAAGAAAAACGATTAAAGTGACTTGTAACCGAGTCTCCTCTATCACCTTAATTGGATCTAGATTTCGCACTGGAGTCCAATGAGTTATGGGAAATGCAGGATATCTTGACACAGGAAATTTATGACGATCATCAAGAGGAAAACGTGTCTTTAATGGCATTTATAAAGGATTGCGACTGTATGATATAGGTTATTATAGTAAGAAAAGTTAACTTGGAGAATGTGGATACACAGAGTGGTCTTGTCGCGAAGCCTCTAATAAAGCATATGTATTTTAATTTGTGCTTTTCTTTCTTTTTTTTTAATTATTAAATTTTAAAAAACTATACCATTTTAAAAAGAAAAATAATAAAATAAAAAAAACTACTAAATAATGGATAATGTAGGACAGTGTCCTCGAGCCTACTGTATTTTTGTGAAAAATTACCTTTTGCCCATTAAAAAGAAAGACAAAGAGAAAAAGAAAGGGGCGCTTAAGACTAGAGATTCTTTCGACTTACTAATTATTCTGAAGTAATTAAATTTCAAATTACTAAATGAGTTTGCAGACTCTTATGACTAAAACAATATTCACAAGGAAAGGAAAACAATATTCATAATCCTTGTAAGTCTATACAACATTTGTAACATTTTTACAGCTGTTTGACCCCTTCGTAGAAATATTTAAGGAACTTTTACCTTTTCCACTACATGCTCATGTGGTGTAACTGGTAGTAAGAAAGGCTAACAGTCAAAAGATCATGAATCCGAACTGCGGCGATTGCGCAGCTAACCTTTCAGGTTTCCGGCTTGGCAAAACACCCAATAGCTATATACAACTTTCTTCAATAATAATAACTTCAAATAAAAACTTATGAGGTGAGACTTCACTTTAGAGAAGAAGTAACCTTCTGGTGCATACATTTGGTGAAGAAGAAGGTAATTGAGAGTTGTGATACTTTTCATTGTTAGATACTGCTTGACGAGAATGTACAATAACTGTGTGACGGTGCACTTTCGTGCAGTAGAAACCAATTATTAGACTGAACTTTCTCTAACTAAATTCTCTCCGAAAGTCTAGCCATTACATCTTTATAAAGTATGAGGTCACGATCTGTCCCACAGGATCAAATTTATTACGCATTATCCTCCCTCCAATCAAATAAGCCAGATCTAAATTTAAGGAGTCGTGAATATCAGATTCTTTACTGTTGGGTTCCCGAACATGTAATGATAAAAGATAATGAACTGGTAGAATGATAGTAAAATTCGCTGTTGATTGGTGCAGTCGGCTTGTTCCAATCAAAGATATCCGGAATATTATCAAGCAGAAAATCCCGAACAAGCGGCAGCTAACTATAGGATGTGTTAGGTCAGTATGGGGTTGTCATATATAGTGACACGCAACGCTAGAAGATTTTCCAATAAATGAGTTTCTTGTTCTCTTCCTTTTGGTTTAAACGGGAGAGTCCCTAGCCGAAACAATTTCACTGGAAGCAATGACTCGTCTTTTGCCGTCTATGCACGCGAAGCATTTTGCCTCCGAGTCGAAAATATTTCGCTTGTAGCTCTGTCTCACGTAGGATTTCGCCAAAGTACACATAAGTGAACCAATCAGATATCTCACGAGTAAAGATTCCTAGAAATGTTTCTTTCGACGCGCTGTCGCGTTCAGCTTGCAGCTATGATAACGGTTTAATACGCTTAACACACTGATCGTCATGGAATTTTATATCAATCGTTTGAAAAATGACTATTGGTGTTCAAGCTTATTTTGTGATAACATATAAACATAATTAATATTTTATTATTTTGATGCACTTTAAATTAAGTTTAACTTTTTTTTTTTTATGTGCGGTCACCAATGCCTGTCACCGCACTAATGGAGTAATTTTACTGCATGCGCCTAACGGGTCACCTTGCCGGCCATGCGTGTTGACAGTTACATATTTGCACATTACCAATTAGACGCAGATATTCATCGCACAACATAACTTAATGAGCACATATTATGGTGCTTTCAAATAATACTCTAAGGTCGGAACTTAAGACGGGACATTCAGGAAAATTGGAAACGGAGATCAAGGTTAAGAATTGAAGCATTCGTAAATGTAGATAAGGCATAAAAATATTAAATCAGTCAAAAATTGAGGATTCAGCAATCCAGATATAACAATATCACAGGTTTCTCCCTTATGCTTCATAATATGTCCAAAAGGATACTATCACTATTATAAAAAAAAAAAGGGTTCATTAAAAAAAATTTTTTTTTAAATTTAAAAAAAAAATTTTTTTAATTTAAAAAAAAATTCGTATTAAGAGAAAATTTCAATTTCAAAAAAAAAAACTTAATTTATTCTTTGGACTCAAATTTTAATTTAATATCTGAAAACGTTTTAAACCAAACAGCTACGTAAGGCCTATTAGTTTAAAAATCAATCCCCACGAAATTCCATGTATAGAACATAAAATCAAATATTTAAAACGAGCTGTTCAAAATAGCAATGCTAAATAACAGAGGTATTATTCCGTCATAAATTATAGCCAACTGGATATGTTTTAGGTTTATTTAATAAATACAAGACTGAATTACTCAAGACATGCACATTTTTCAAATGATCTCAAAATTCTAACTGTAATCAAATTCCACAGGTAAATGGTTAATTGTTGACTCAATCTCGCAGCACAATGGATATTACACAAGTCAGAATCATCCAGGAATTTTACCTTCCTCCTTTCTCTGAGGAAATATGGCATCTGATTTTGACTACTAAGGTATCGAAATGGAACGCCAGAAAATCTATAAATCAAGAGAGTTAATTACTTATAATTAATTGCATGTCAAACTGAATAGACGTCTTCTCAAGCAAGTTCCGCTTATAATTAAATTTTTCGTATAATCCTAATTCTGTGACTGCAAATTCGAATTAATTATTTCAAAGGCGTTTTTATGCTGTAATCGTAATTATCAATAATTGGATTTTGTATATTTGATAAAATTTTCTTTTATCTTTTTGTTTAAATGCAGCTTAATGAAATTTATAGACGAACCAACATTATTTATTAATGGTAAGTGCAAAACTCTATGTATTACGCCAATTATCTAATACAGTCATGTTTAAGTTTCCATTGAATCAATATCGATGGTTTTAGTTATCCGCACTTTAGCACGATCTACAAAACGTTTCGTAGTTTAAAACTTTCATGCACAGTATGCGTACAAAGTTTTAAGATTAAATTGGTTGAACAAAAAAAAAAAAAAAAAAAAAAAAAAAAAATTTTTAAATATCATTCTTACTCCTTAGCCTCAAATTTCGATGATTACCAAACACAACGTTTGGCACGTTCATACCACTGCTTGATTCCTTGGCGAAACTCAACTTTTGGAATAATTTTAAACTCACTGTCAAACAAAAAGGTATTCCTTTGAGCAGGGCCTTTCCTAGGCCATTGGCTGCTCGAGTACTTTCCTAAGATTGCCGCCTAAATTTTTAAAAAATGCTCAATGATTAATAAAAGTTTTATTTCATACTCACTAAGTACTGACATATGACAAACTGTATAAAAAGTACTTACATATGAAAAGTACTTACAACAATCACCGAAGCTCCATACTACGTTAGAAAGAAAAATTTGGTCTGAAAGTGAAACTTATTTCTGATTTTCTGCACAGAATAAATGCTAAATTTTATGATAAAGCTACGCAAGAACACGTCCGCCGGCTTTGCAGATATTTTCGCTTAAGAACTACTTAAAGAAGACAGGAATAATAGGCCATTTGCAGCTTTTTCTCTTAGATAGCGCAAACACCCAAAAACAAGATCAACATGTGTAAACTTGTAAACCATGTGTATTAATTTTAAAAAATTTTCAGTATAGCTCGAGTCATAGGACTGCGACCACACACCTGATAGGACAATGCTAGTCCTTCTGTCATCGCATTCTCACCTGTCGGTGACATTTCAGAGACAATGTGTCTCTTTGTTTTCTTATTTTTACTATATTTTATCTTAAGGTACTCACACATCTTTATGGTGGACCAATTTGATGAGCCCTTATGTGTGAGGCCGCTCGTGGGATTTTCTGATAAGCTCTGGTAAAAGCGGAATTAATTCCCGCTGTAAACCAGAATATGCAACCAAAGCATTAAAGCATGAAGTACTTACAACTAATTTAAAACATTTAGGCGTGGTATCACGACAGTCCGGCGGCCCCTGATTTTCGTCTCCCGTGCACTCCCGCTAGGAACGTCCTTGTCTTTGAGCTTTTCAGTCTTAATGCGCAGAATTCTTTTCAGATATCTAGCCATTATGTCTTCATAAAATAATGGAGTTTACAGACTGTTCCTCGAGGAAAATACCTCTAACGAATTATCCCTTTTCAATCAAAAAATATCCCCAATATAGTTCCCCCCCCCCCAAGATCTCTTAAACCGAAGTTTCTGTGACTATAGTGAAATTTCTCCAACCCAAACACATAATTGCCGGTTTGTCGTAAGATCATACGCAAAGCAGCAAGTTTCATCTCTAATTGCAATTTGTTTTTAAAAAAATGAGGATTAATCCCCGGTTTGTAGCAAAACTTTCATGTTATTCTTTAACCAACTTTCGAATGCATCAGAAAAAATGCACACTTATTTATATATTATTATTATAAAGCAAATAAATTATTGCAAAGAAATTTTCGTTCATAAACGATACTAAAGGAAAAGCAAATTAAGATGTCACAGTAATAAATATTGTTATTATTGTTTAGCAGGTTTGTCGGAATTTATTTCAGTCTTAAAAATTTTATAGAAACAAACGTCAAACAAGAACAGGTCGTAACGCAGAGATATATAGAAATAAAGTGCGTTCACAACTAACTTTCCAAGGCGATCTTGATAATCAGCAAACGTAAAGCACACAAATCGATTTGAGTTTCACTGCTTGTACAATGATTCGATGGGAAAGAATGTTCCATTTATTGTCCTCCCATTGTATTGTGTTGTTCATTATACATGATCAGCAGATAATTTTTTCATTACTGTATCGTCTCCAGAGGCTTAGGCTAAAATGATAAAGTCTTTACTTATTATACGCACAAGAAAGACAAAAAGAGAAAGTAAATGTACAATGCAGACTTACAACTTACTACTACTTTACTTAACGTTGGTAATGCATGCAGTTAATCATTTAAACACTATTATATATTTTCATAGGAATATTCCTTTATATACAAAATTCTTCGACTATACATCTTTTAAATGATTGGCCGTTGCAGTAAATGCAGCTAAAAAACTATGTCAAATAAGATAAGTGTTTTGTTGATGATAATGTTGACTATGTGATACACTTTAGTAAATTATATGTAATTTATATGGTCCTTTTAAAAAGAGGTTCTAATTAGTAAATTGCTCCATATCCTATTAAACATTTATTTAGAAAAAAGCGTTGCTCTGTAACATGCAAAACTAATTTTGAAAAAAAGGAAAAAAAAGTATCAATATTACATCACTCAACCCACTTTTACCTGAAGCCGAAGTATAGATTTTAGACATCGGAAAGTGAATTTCATGATTACGAACTTTTGCATTTAAATTTGGTTTTATCATTTCAAAGAATGGGAACTTGAAACATATTTTTCAGTATATCGATGTTTAACTGATGAATTTTTTTCCTCAAAGTTTGCTCTGAAAACTTAATTTTAATTATCTAAAAACGAAAATTTTAATTATGGACCTCAAGGATAATTTTAACTATACAAGAATGGAATGTTTTTTCAGACAGCAGCTTGCTTCGTTGTCAATGATTCGTAGCGTCACCAACGGAAAAGCGCACTTGTGCATTCGCTGCCGAAAGTTAGATATATTTCTAAGTGCCAGTAATGACTAGTTAGCCGTTACACAATTAAGAAAACTCATTTCTATCAGTGATACTCTTTCACTTTGAGGTCCATATATAAAAATTGTACATTGACGTTAGAAACGCCGCTAGCAGAGAATATGCACAATTTTTGGAGCGATACGTTACGCTACTGTTCGGTCCTCTTCCACCTATTTTAGCAAATATTCTCATTTTATAAAACATTGCCTTACTTAATACGCTGACTGTCAGGCCACAAAACAACGGCGGGCCTAGACATTCACCGGTGTCTTTCAATTTAATTTTATTTTAATAATCTAACTAAATTTACTTTACCACCCCACATCGAGAACCATGTATGACTGTCAAGACAGCTGGTGATAGTCAACTCACAGGTCACTGTCGACTAACCTTTCGGTTTATTTTTATTTTAACAGTGAAGAAAAATTCAAGCCGTAGTTTCAGCATGGTGCATGCTTTGTCGAGTCGCATAATTCAAAAGTGCACATTAGTAATGCCACTGAGGGAGGGGTTTCACAAATGGACCAATGAGCTTTTATTGCTCTTGTGACGCTGCATCTTTGAAACTCAGTGAGTTGTTGAGTTAAATCTTTTGAAACTCAGCATATGAGCGCATGTTGTTGTTTACGTTTTATTTCGAATTTGTTTCGCAGTTATAAATGTATGGCGTATAAATACTGCTATCATTTTAGCTGAAAATCTCAGTTCTTTCGTTTTATAAGTTTATTTAGTCGTCAAACTTTCACATTTAAATTTTATTAAATTAAATTATTTAAATCGCATCATTTAACTCTAATTTTTATGGAGATTAGTAAAATTATTTTAATTATCAAAAGATTTTCCTCTCACTATAATATATATAAAAGTACAAAATTTTATTTACAAGAACAGCTTTCATTTTCCTATAAGTTATCATGAGAGAAAAGTTATCACAGCTTCAAATTCTAGCTTAATTGATAACTTTCATAAACTGGCCCCATGGATATCCGATGGATATCGCATATAGTTTAACGCCTAAATTATCACCTGTGGATACGAGAGCTCTATATTGTAAATCAATTCCATATCAATTTCCATTTCTAAACAGGGAAGCTTAGTTCTTGCCTTTATATCTGCCGTACATTTATTAGTTTAGCGATGGTACCCCTAAATTTAACATCAAATGTTATACTGAGATTACTAGCTCATACGAATGCATTAACCATTTTAAATTACGATCAATTTCAGGAAAGATCTGAACAAATCTAATGGAAATATTGAAATTTGGTCTGAATAGGAAAAGCATTCGTCACGACTATCACGGGACATGTTCTAACTTTGTCGCAGTTATCTAAACTTATCAATCATCATTTGGAGAAGAAATGGGATTCCGCAACATAAACCAGAAACGGAAAATTCCAAGAAGATAGGAGGTTCTCAAGATAAACTCGCAAAGTGTGCGGCTGGTAAGACACACCAACACAATTTTCTTGAAACTCGGTGCAATTTTAAGGCATAGGTTAGGAAATATTCAAATTCGACCACCTAGATACATAACGAAAAAAAATTACAATGAGAGAATGTTAAAAGTACTTGCAAAATGCTACTCATTAACAATTAATTGATATCATGCGCTAATTCTTGTTTGCTTTATTAATCGATAATACTTTCCCGTGTGCTTGCGTATCTATTATTTAATGTATTTGCTTAGAATGATAGTATATTTGTCTCTTGGAATGTCGTAAAAGCAGCTTTTTTCTATATCTTTATTCTGAAGAAACTTGAAGTAATTTAATGATTTACAGAAACAGTTGCATTAAATACTTTTAACTTCCTACTCGTCCGAATTCGATGATCACAAAACTTTACTTATTTTATTTGAATGCATATAAAAAGCCCAAATATAGAAAAGCTATTTCTCGTAGTTATATATGAAATATATATACCACTGAAATATATACAAAACATGATATTTAGAACATATTTTTCTTTCTATTTACAATTTAAAAAAAGTTTACGGCTACTCGTTCTTACTGTCATGTGAGGTCTGGTTTAGAATCGCGGCACCATCTGCATTTGGTAATTAAAACCATTTGTTACCATAGAATGCTGTTTGGATTTGTTCATGGCGATATTTGTCGACAGTAGCAAAAGTGAAGATCGATGTCCATTGCCGCTTTCTTAATGCGAAAGCCCAAACTGGGTTCTTTCTGGTCATTGTATGACGCTTTAAACCAAGGGTTTTCCAACTTTTCAAATTTTGTACCACATAAACATGAAACAAAAATATATGTATCACCATAAAAGCATTTCGCCATTAAAAATCAATGCATCCTAAACGGAGTGTATATAAACAGAGAATAAAGCCCTTTAAATTTATATTATTTAATTATGTTCGTAAATGAAACTTTTACATTACAATAAAATATAAAATAAGTATACTACGAGTATACTGGAATGCGATTCAAGTATACGGATACTACGAGTATACGATTCTTAGAAATCGTAACGTCGAAAAATTGTTCGAAGCTCTTAGAAAAGTCGTCATTTCAACATTAAAGCTAGAGCCATAAAAGTCAAAAACTTGAAAAATATACGTGTTTCTCAATAATAAAGATTAAAACAAAATGTTAAAAGGGGCGCAATTTTACATTCATTTAATTTTTTTCAGTTAAAACTGTACCACTAAAAATATTGTAATGTACCACCAGTGGTACATGTACCACAGTTTGAGAACCGGTGCTTTAAAAGATTAAGCTCAATCAGAAAAATGCGCTTATTCTTGAGATACGGCTGATATACGCACTGTGATTGCTTTACCTGCCCCATAGGATTTCAAGAATAGTTTTCAGTTCTTTTTCATTGACTGATACTCATATCATGTTCTTTAAACTTCTGCTGTACAAGTACAAGAAACAAAAACATGGTCATCGACCGCAAATTACTCAAAAAATTACGACGGCAAAGCGATTTATGATGCTATATTTCTCTTTACAACTTTGCCCTCTAACACTAAAATGCATTCATTTTTGATACGATGCTGGCAATTTCGATTAGCTCACAATGTATTAGATGGCCCCTTGGCTCAGCACAATCACTTATCTCTATTAAAAATAAATCTTCATTAACGGCACATTTACGCTCAAATGAAGAACATTATGGCCGTCATTCGCAGCTTCAAGTACTAAAGAATTCCTATTAACTTACCATCTTTGTTTATTTATTTATTTACGAGGTAACTATTATAATTATCATCCGAAATAATCAAAGTTATAAAAAAAAACCTGATATTTTCTTATATATATTTAACAAGCATTCTCTATTCGTAAAAAGCAAATTTAATTTAAATGAAATTTAATGCAAACAAATAAATGATTAATTATTGTTGCAAACTAATCTACAGTATCATTTAAATTCTGAGAGCATATGTAAATGAAGTGCAAGTATCAAAATCCATGAATAGATATAAAATTCCGAAAATTATTTAATCCTAAAAAGTTTATTTAGAAAAATGTATAAATGAATGATTGTTGAGCAGGCAGGAGACAGACTTATCAAGGAGAAGTTGCCTCCAAACCTAACTCTTCAATCATTCAATTCGAGTTTCGTCATCCATGTATGCAAGGGTAAAAGTCAAAACAAAAAGTAATACTAAATGTGGTGAATTACTAAAAAGAAATTTAAACAAGTGGAATTTCGATATATGGCAAGTTTATTCAAGACCTTAAGTTTTTTTAACAATATGATGTTTCTAAGACACACCGACAAGTTTTCTTACTAAATACTTCGCACAATTTTCAGTTTGGAAATAATCAATCATAGAAAAACGTATTAAACTAAAGTAACAATAGTTAACAGAAGCTAAATTTTCCTAGTATTTACATTCCCCCCCCCCAAAAAAAAAATAAGCAGACTGCGAAAAAAGCTATACACATTTTTGTAAAACAAAATATTTAAAGTATTTCAAAAAATGACTTGAAGATTTTTCAATTTTGATTAGGTAGAGTTGCGAATAGTCAATCTGGATGAGAACACTACCGAAAATCTTTCACTTTCTTTTTTTATACACGATGGAGTTGTTCAGAACACTGCAAGCACACACACTTCACGGCCCTTTGAAAGGCTGAATAGTTAAGTCCGCAGAA